GTGTGTGCGGGCGGGCGCACGAGCGTGTGTGCGTGCGTGTGTGCGTGTGCGTGTGTGCGTGGGTGTGTGCGTGTACGCGTGTGCGCGTGTGCGCGTGTGCGAGCGTGCCCGTGTGCGCGTGTGCGCGTGTGCGCGTGTGTGTGCGTGTGCGTGTGTGCGTGTGTGCGTTTGTGTGTGTGTGTGTCTGTGTGTGCATGTCTGTTTGTGTGTGTGGGTGTGTGGGTGCGTGCGTGCGCGTGCGCGTGCGCGTGCGCGTGCGCGTGCGCGTGCGCGTGCGCGTGCGCGTGCGCGCGTGCGTGCCGCGTGCCGCGTGCGTGCGTGAGTGCGTGAGTGCGTGCGTGCGTGCGTGCGTGCGTGCGTGTGTGTGTGTGTGTGTGTGTGTGGTGTGTGTGGTGGGTGTGTGTGTGTGTGTGTGGTGTGTGTGGTGTGTGTGTGTGTTTGCGTGTGCGCGTGTGTGTGTGTGGTGTGTGTGTGCGTGTGTGCGTCTGCGTGCGTGTGCGTGTGCGTGTGCGTTTGCGTGTGCGTGTGCGTGTGTGTGTGTGTGCGTGTGCGTGCGTGCGCGTGGGTGCGTGCGTGCGTGTGTGTGTGTGTGGTTGTGCGTCTGTATGTGTGTGTTTGTGCGTTGTGTGTTTGGGTTGGGTATTTCCCAACCTTCCCTTGGTTGGGTATCCGTTTGGAATAGAGCACTCTGGTCGCGTCTCCTCCTTATCCCGCTCTCCTTCTTCCCTTCCGTCTCCGACCTCCTGCTCCTCGCGGGGCCCTGCGGTTTTGTCACCAGTATGTATCGTGGGCTCCTGGAGGGGTCAGCGGAGATACGCCTTACGCAGATCACCACTAGACCTCGCCGCCACATTCGTGGGTTTCACTGGGAGGGCCAGCGGAGTGACGTCTGACGCGGATTACCACGAGATCTCGCCGCCCCCTGGGCGGTTGCGATCTGCGAGGCGGTCGCCAGTATCGTGGGCTTCTGGGAGGGCCAGCAGAGCGATGGCCACAACACCTCGCCGCCCCGTTGGGGGGGGGTGCGATCTGCGAGACGGTCGCCACTTTCGTGCGCTTGGGGGGGCCAGTGGGATGACGTCTTACGCGGGTCACCACGAGACCTCGCCGCACCCTTGGGGGCTGCGATCTGCGAGACGGTCGCCATTTTCGTTGGTTCCTGGGAGGGCCAGCGGAGTGATGTCTTACGTGGATCACCACGAGACTTCGCCGCCCCGTGGGGCGCTGCGATTTGCGAGACGGTCGCCATTTTCGTAGGGTTCTGGGAGGGCCAGCAGAGCCACGTCTGACGCGGATCACCACGAGACCTCGCCGCACCGTGGGGGGTGGCGGTTTGCGAGAAGGTCGCCTCTTGTCGTGGGTTCCTGGGAGGGCCAGCGGAGTGATGTCTCACGCGGATCACCAAGAGACCACGCCGCCCCTTGGGTGGTTGCGATCCGCGAAATTGTCGCCAGCATCGTGGGCTTCCTCGGGAGGGCCAGCGGAGTGACGTCTTACGCGGATTGCCACGGGACCTCGCCGCCCCGTGGGTGCGATCTGCGAGATTGTCGCTAGTATCGTGGGCTTCATCGGGAGGGCCAGCGGAGTGACGTCTTACGCGGATTGCCACGAGACCTCGCCACCCCATGGGTGCTATCTGCGAGACTGTCGCCCCTTACGTGGGTTTCTGGGAGGGCTTCGGGGTGATGTCTCACGCGGATCACCACGAGACCTCGCCGCCTCCTGGGGGGTTGCGACCTGCGAGACTTCCGTCGAGGGGCCCCAACGGGCGAGGCGCGCGTTGAATTGGCAAGGCCTTGACGTAAGCGGCGATGGCCCCATGATTTGTTGCAAAACTCGACCCCGCGAAGCCGGCCCATGTGAAATGCGAGGCCAAGAATTCGCCGCACGTCAGGAGTGCGTGCAATTGCCCTGTTGCGGGAGAGCACCACCGCCAGACATTCCGTGGTTTTCGTTTAGCACGGTCGCA